GTTTATAATTATTAAAATAGAAAGTGTGTGTGTGGGGGGTTGTCTTTAAAAACTATACAGTTTGAAGTCTGTTAAAGCTTGCTTTTCATTTATTAAACCAAAATGAGGCTGTTCTCAACAGATTCCTCCAAGTCCCAGTGCTTGTCATCAATGTCTTTAAGCAAACTGAATTAGCCACCAAGGTGGAACCAGATTACAATAGGTATGAATGAAATGGGCAGAATGGCCCTTTAACCTCCCGAGAGCCCCAGCAAATTCAATCTAGGAAAAAATCCAATCACTGCCTCGTGGGATTCCCTATGTGGTTTGGGGTCTTATATCAAGAGTCCCAGTGTTTAAATATTAAAAACTTCTAAGTAATTAAATCTTTAGAAAGGTAAGAACACTCACAAATTGAGACCATGAATAGACTAATTATATAACAAAAAAACTAACAACAAATAGTCAAACTTGATTTTGAAATTCCTGAATAATCAAAAGAATGTAAAACGATACTAAGATAATTCTTCCATCAAGTCCAAAAATTTTAATTTTAATAAACACTCCATAGTAAGAACATAATACAATGAACATTCCAAGTTCCAGAATGAAATAAATCGATCTCCCAATGCAGTTTGGTAGCGTGTGTTCAAACCCCTTCTCCTAACAAAACTGAAAAACAAACCAAAGGTCCAATATTAACACAGTGAATCTTCAGGAAGCTAAATTCTGCAGAACCAATATTTAATATTCCAGTTAAATGTTCAAAGTGCAATATTAAGGTGAAAGGGTTAAAAAACAATGCACACTAAAGGACATTTTTTATATGTAATGGAAGGCAAAATATTCACAAATGCAACACTGTGGGTGACTAATCTTCTGCTTCAGATTTTTGTTTCCAAAATGTCTACAAATGTTTTATTAATAAATAGCAAGCAAAAATAAATAAATAAATATGTAAATAAATAAATAAATAGCAAGCATAAGAGCCTCCACCTCAGAGAAACTGTGAGGTAAGAAGACAGACAGCTTGTCATGATACATTTCAATGCGAAAAAAAAAAAGGATGGTAAGTAATGGATTAGATAATCTGGTCTGGATGACAAGTGACAGACTGGGAGATGATCTAGTCTGGCCTGGCCACCTGGGTTGAGAATTCAAATGACCCTTGATCAGTGGTTCTCAACCTTCCTAATGCCATGACCCTTTAAAACAGTTCCTCATGTGGTGACCCCCAACCATAAAATTATTTTCATTGCTACCTCATAACTGTAATTTTCCTACTGTTATGAATGGGGCGACCCCTGTGAATGGGTCGTCTGACATCCCCCCCAGGGGGTCGCGGCCCACAGGTTGAGAGCCTCTGCCCTAGATAGTTGTTTCCAACAACCTCACAGACATTCTCTAAAACAGACTGATTATCGTATATACTCGTGTATTAGCCAAGTTTTTCAACACATTTTTATGCAGTTTTGTGGCAAAATTACTAGGTGGGTCAGCTTATACTCGAATATATAGGGTACAAGTATTAAAAACTCAGTTAAGCAAACTGACCTTACCTGTCCAAGGGAGTATGACTTTTGAAACCTCAGTCTGAATAGGCCTTTAAATGGTGGGCTATTTAAACTACACAAAAGCTGGCTATTGAGGGCCAAGAGGAGCTGAAGCAGCCCTGAGGTTTACTCTTATACTAATTATTTCTGAAAAACAACAGTTACTGGAAAAGCTGGTGCTTGCTGCCCACATATACTGGTTCTCCTGTTAATCTGTTCCGAGATTAATTTATTTAGTTGAATTAAGTTTGGTGTCAATTATTCATAGTAACTAAAAATCAATCCTTTCATGAGCAGCAGACTTTCTTTCCAAAGCAAGCTGAACCAAACGATTTTAAAGAGAAGTTGGTCCTCCATGAGAATGAAGGCTCTCTCTAATCATAACGTTTCAAAGAAACCACAGAAAAAGACAGTCTGTAGTGATAAATCACACCCGAGATAAAAAGCTGTGAATAATCAAGATAATGCCATATGATACTTAACATTAATATTCACTACAGAATTCTGTTTGCTCATCTCCAAATGAAAGGAGTGACAGAATTAAATTGAAATGATGCCTCCAGATACCTAAAACACGAGTATATTTCCAAAAAATTCCAAGCAGAGAGAATAACTAATGCTGATAAACTAGGCTACCTACCAGTGACTGCTAACTAAGAAGAAAAAAAATATCTTCATAGAAAATAACACCTCTTGCCCAGATATCACTCTCAAGTCTGCATCATTAGTTATGTGCACTGGAATAAGGAAAATGCATGGAGTGCTAAATCATTTGATATATATACAAGAGAATTCAGTTAACTCCTTCAATGTATAAGTTGCTGCTAAACAAGTACTTATTTATATACTAAGCAGTTTCTGAATTACTAAGGTTACATTACTAAATCAAGTTGTTCCTTGATTAAAGAGGATAGCAAAAATCTTATTTTCACTTTCCCTCGTTTCCATTCTGTGTACACAGTGGGATTGTAACTGAAATCCAACAGGTTCTCTGTTGGCACTTCAGCTGGCATTCACTTGACTGCCCACCTCATTATTCTCAAGTCAGTTCTTAATTCAACCTATCTTTCCATTTACATACTTTTTCAACAGCTGCTATCCCTAAATTTGAATGTGTCTCCCTCCCAGAAGTTATAATTCAACTCAGGAAACTCACACATACACGTTTTAAAATTCAAAAGGCACAATCTCATAATCTTTTAAGAGATAACAATATGGACAGTTTGTTTGAGATGACCAATAAAGGCCTATCTGATCCTGGGTCAGGACTGTTAGCATGGCTGAGGGCTGTAATGAGCTTCCTAATATTTACCTGTAAGGGGCTGCATCCTCACTGGTTTACATAATTACAGGGAGGGGCATTCAGACACTCTTTGATGTGACTGGTACTTCCTGAAACAGCACAGTGCACAGTGCAGGCAACCATATACAGTGCTTGCCTGCTCTTTAACATACTCCAAGATCACCATAAGGCAGTGGTTCTCAACCTTCCTAATGCCACAACCTTGTAATACAGTTCCTCATGTTGTGGTGACCCAACAATAAAATTATTTTTGTTGCTACTTCATAACTGTAATTTGCTACTGTTATCAATTGGGTGACCCCTGTGAAAGGGTCGATCGATGCCCCGCTTCCCCCCAAGGGGTCCTGACCCACAGGTTGAGATCCGCTGCCTTAAGGCAATCTACAATCTTCAAAAGCCACCAGCATGCTAAATGGTGTGATTCAGGTAAATTATAGATTCAAGTGATTTGCTTCTGGTTAGTATATAATTCAGAAGTGTAAAGAAACAGGTCCAGTGTTGTTTCACAAGTTCTAAGCTGTGGTCCTGGTAGTCGGTCAGCAGAGAGTTTAGGAATTATGAAGAGAGGGTACATAGCCTATGTTGGCCACACAAGGGGGAGCTTCACTAAGGAAGTCATTCCTCATTCCACCTCTACAGTGGGGTTTTAGCTTCAAAAGGAATTTTGTTCACCTACATTCTTCTCCCTTTCCTTAAAAAAGAAACCTACTAAGGTGGTTTTATATATACACCTGCTTAGTTAGTGGAAGTGAGTCCTGTATCAAGATCCATCATGGTCTTGATTAAAAAATCAGAACAGGATATAGTCATGCATAAATAACTATCTCACAGTTGTTCATAAGGTTTTCTTTAAAACGTTTTTCAATGCAAAACTGATATACACGTAGAACCTGCCTTTGACCATCCCCTACATTTGCAGCTCTCGTGCATTCAGTTGATGAGCTTTGTTTAAATCCCCATCCTAGTCATTTTATACAAGGACATAGCAAAAGTGAGCCACCAAAGGAATTCAACACCTATTAAGCAGTAAAAAGTCTGTCTAAAGTCTTTTAAAAACTCATATTTAATATGCTATATGGAGAGGCTTTTATGATTTTAAGTTAAAAACCTATAAAGTGCATTAACCACTCATTCTTCTTACTGAGCTTGTTTAACTTGTGATTATCTATAGGTTTAATTTTTCTTGAACCATTCTTTACATATCAGCAATATGCTACCTTCACATGTCCATAGTTAGCCATAAAACTTTGAAAACCAAATGCATTCCCCCTTCCTTAATGTAGCAATAAACAATTCTGAAGCTGATCAAGTAAACGTCGTCAGACTGTACAGAACCTTACCAATCATATTGAGTCTCTGTGATCATGAGCATCCACCACTTAAGAACCTTCCGGGCCTCATCTTCCTTCCACTATGAAATCTTAAGCATGGCTTTTGTATTACAAAGTGCCAGACCTGGTAAATGGTGGAAGCGGAGACTTCAAGCATTTAACACACTACAGACCTTTATGCCAACGAGAGCTGGAACCAGCTATTTCAAACCATCTTTGTCTCACCTGAGGGTGGAGTAAGGGAAAAGTTCTGCAAAAAACAATTTTTTTTTCATTGCAAGTGACAAACTCAGCATAGAAAATGTGCAACAAGGATAACTAGCTTCTCATGCACCGAAAAAGTAAAACACAAACTACTCCTGGAGGAGAACAGCATTACCAGTGCACTTTAACAGAAGGTGGAGCATGTTATTTCAGACACCATTCACTCGAGTGCAGAGGATATTTAATAAAGCAAGGTGCCTACTCCTGAATTATGCTGAAGCGTGAGGAGTCAATCTAAGCAGTGCTAAAAAGGCAATGATGGGAGTGTTCAGGTCAAGTGTTACAGAGAACAAGTTGTGAGAACTTCCATTAATTATAAATAATCTGTCCCTATCATTAACCATTTAAATACTTTTTTCCTTTTCTGCTGATGTGCTAGAATGCACTGGAAACCTCAGAACAGGTTTTTGTTTTGTTTTTTTAATTGGCCATGTCTTAATAGACTGCAGTCTTCAAATTTACAGAGCTGCAGGTCGCCTGGATTTCCTCAAGTGTCACTCAGCTAAGTGAGCCTGACGGCTGAGAAAGGCCGCCAGGTACTTTACAGTCAGTTTAAAAAACATCCTCTACCTGGTATCTCGGCAGTGATTGTCTTGCTGCTCCCTGAAACCTCCTCGTCGTCATCGGACGAGCTCGTGCTTGAGTCACAAGTCAGGTCACTGTCACTGGTACTACTGTCCTGCAGCAGGTTGTACTTCTTCCTCGCAGCAGCCTCTCGTTTCTGCCGCAGCAGCCGGATTCTTTCCTTTTGCTTTTGGCTCCGATGACCTTTAACCTTGGCAACTCGGCCATTCTGTTTGTCACTGGATTGCCGGTTTTTCTTGGCCGCCATAGTGGATGTTTCACTTTCAGACCGGGAGCGCCTAGACTTGCGCCCAACTGTGGTACCCGACAGACCAGAAGGGTCTCCTTCTCTTGCTGTTTGTGCTTGGGAGGTCTCATTCTCTTCAGCAGAAGACAGTGTATCCGAGTCAGCCAGGTGACCACTAGAGGAAGGGGAGAGCATGCAGTGGTTAGAGGAGTCACTCTCATACACTCGGCCCGCTGTCGGCTTGTCACTCTCCGTGGACGCTAACTGAGACTCAGAAGAGTCCCTTCTCAGTTCCATCAATAAGCAAGGCATTGAGGAGAGAACTGTAGAATCTGCAACACCATCTTTCGGAACTTGAGGTTCCAATTCTACAGATCCATCTTCCTCCTTGGCTGTCTCTTGTTCAGATGACTTGGGTGGGACTTCAGACTCAAGGAGTTCTTCAACTTTTCCCACTGCCTCCTCCATCTTCATTTCAGAATTGAGTTAAATCATGGAGCAGAGTCTAGGGAACTATATCAAAGATGCAACAGGAAAGCAACCTGTACAAAAACACACAAAATCAATAAACAGAAATGGCAGGTCATTTAGTCAACACAACACCCCTATCTTCCTCACTGGGTTGACAAAAGTTACCACTAGAAAGGCCTATAAAATACGTGAAAAGAAAAATCCCATTATCCTTTCATTCTATTTGTCCACAAACTTTTTTATTTGAGCTCCCTTGTACATGTATATATCTGCTTGATCAGCAAAATCAAAAGACTTAATATTAAAAAACTCAAATTTATAGCATACAGTTACTAAATCATCAATCCTCTCTTAAGGTCTCTGGGTAGTGCACAGTTAATGCTGTGATGCTAACCTAAAGCTTAAAGGGAGAAACCACCCAGGGATATCGCCGAAGAGGCCTGGTAATCTGTTTTGCCAAGAAAGCCCAAAAGACCAGTTCTGACTTGTCACAGAGGGTAGCCTAGAACTAGAAATAATGACTTGATGGCAACTAACAACAATCACTGAACCTGAAAGGCCAGCAAGTAATCAAACAAGGATATTTTGTTGACCATAACCTTAAACTTTATTTAGGGTGTATAAGAAAGAAATCCTCAAAACACTGATGTAGTTAATACAGAAGAACCAAAAAAGCCTAGAAAACAATGAGTTAACTAGAATGATAAATTTTATATTGAAATCTTCAAGGAAAGGCAGCAAGGGGAAGAAGCTACAATGTAGTCACAGCAAACATACACTCTTGAGTAAAAGAATTTCAAGGTAGTTTCTGACACATAATGTATCTGTGTTACAACAAATCACACTTTCGACCACCTTTTTTTAAAACATCTTATCATAATATTTACTATATACAATGTTAAAATATAGTTGTAAGTTCATATGTTGTGTTTCCAACCCCCAAAGACAAATAAAGCCTGGATTTATAAAGATACTGCTGGGAGCTGATATCAAAGAGTACAAAAAGAAAGAAATGTTTTGAAAATGATGGTGACAACAATTGTCTAATCATGCTTGATCTAACCGAACTATGGATTGTTATATCTTTAAGAGCTCCCAATAAAAATGGAGGAAAAAATACTGCTAATAAAAGGCAGTAATAGCTTTTTTTCTCTGTCCAAAAATAGAGGTGTTCAACTTGTATTAAAACCAGAGTTGTTGGCACTGAAGCCCTTTGTAAGTTGGAGACTACCTGTATAAGTATTCACACCTGTCTGCCTCTCCCTTCAATAGGAGCTTCTCTCTAGAGCAAATGGGATGGGAAACCCGCTGCTCCCTCAGACCTTCTTAGCTCCCACGTTTCAACATGACTATTTAATTCCATAACAAAGCATGCTTTATTTCATCAACAACAGCCACTCTGTGAACCCAGAAAACCTACTCTACCCTACGAATGCCTCGCTACAACTCACATGTTGACTTTAGAACCTAGACTGCCCCTCCATCCACCACCGCCTTTTTTATTTGAGATGTGACTCTACTTGGTCACAGTGGAATGGGACATGATCTTTAATCACAAGAGCTGTGACCTATTTAGTGCAAGTTTCACTAACTGGTGATTTTTAAAAGAGAATGCTAAGAAATGTGCAGGGCAAGTAAAGTACACGAGGCTAAAGAAGCAGCTATCACGATGTCCCAAAGATCAGAGACAGACAGACACTAACACTAAGCTGGATGGCATACTGAGTCAGGTGCAATGAGAGGCCTCTGCCACTTAATTTCATCAAACTGCCACAAAAGTTCAACTTACAGTAAACAGCAACTAGAAGATATTTGGAAAAAAATTTAATTGTCAATATGCCAACCACCCCTGATTTTTAATTATTACAACAAGCATTCTATATACCTGACTGTGTTTTTCATGGTCCTGTTATCAGTCGCTGTTAAAACAAACATTCTGATAGTTTCCTTATTAACACTCATAAAAACCAGAACATTGATGGCCCAAGACTTAGGAAATGATCCCAAGTGCAGCCTACCTTCTTAGCACATTGCAGCATTACTAATTTTTTAATTAAATGAAGACAGCTAAGAAATGCTATTCCTAAAGCCATTCCCAAAGGAATGCAGCACCTCCGAAAGCCAACAGAGGGAGTGCAAGCTGCAATATTAACAGAAAATTAAATACTCCCATTTAAGCACCAAAACACTCCCAGGTATGAGGACTAAGTGCACCATTTTCTGCGGATATTAAATGAGAGTTGATCCTTCAGAAGGAAAGCAAGTTGCTGTATATACTCATGTATAAGCTGAGTTTTTCAGCACATTTTAAATGCAGTTTTTGTGGTAAAATTAGGTGTCTCGGCTGATGTTCGGGTCAGCTTATACTCTACAGTATATACGGCATATATTCTAGAATAAAGACTTTTCTTAAAGTTGAAATATCTGAGAAATAAACTCAAAGGAAATTAATGTCAGCTCTATAGCACAGCCCTTGAGAAGTCAAATTAACTCTTTAACGCACTGGGTCTTTTCAAGTATGTAATAGGTAACACTAGACAGAAAAAAAATTTATTAAAATTACCACGCACATTTTGTTTCTCTAGTAAATAAGTTGTGTGCAGCCCAGATGAAATCTAGAAAACATGAAAATGTCTGATGACTTCCTGGCTTTCACCAACTCAAACGTGACTAATCCATCCTTCCCTTCTTCCTTCTTTTGTAGACTCCCCTCCACTTACCACTTCCGCCTCACATCTCCTTTCCGATCCTCCACACACTCCAGTCTTTCACACTAATCTTACTGGTCACTGAAATCCACTGTTCCCCGGTCCTTTCTCTCAAACTCCCTTCTCCAGCCCACTCCAATGACATCTGCATTCATCAGACCTGTGCAAGGTTTTGCCTGGTCATTAACTACCCCTCTACATCTCTAGATACAACAAACACACTTAGTATTAATCCTATCATGCCTAAGCAACATTCCATGTCTGCTCACACAACACTTTTTTAAAAACCTTCAAGGTTCCCATATTCTTCAGGCTGTTCCTCAGTCTACTTTCCTACCTAACTTTCCTACCAAATTTCCAGATTTAGCCCTAGGTTCCTGTTCTACACCAAGAGTTCCCAATGTCCTCTCTCCACTAGTTGCTCTAATTCTGCTTTTCCAGCTCAGGCCTTCTTTCCCTGACTTCTATAACCAATCCATTACTGTTACGTTTAGCCCAATACCACCTGACATCACCCATTGGATTTATCAAAAAAACAAGTTCATCATGTTCAAAACAGAATTAATCACCTCTGATCAACACTCATATTACTACTTCTGGAGTTTTCCTCAGCTCATTCAATTGAGCCAGTATTCTCAACAGTTCACACATGAAAAACCAGAGGGTTTAATTCATCACATCCCATCACCCACTAATTCCCATCAATCTTACCTCTAAAATCATTCTCCAGTTTGTCCATTAGTCTCCTTTTCTAGCAACCCCCTAGAAAAAACCTACATCATTTATTTCTCAAAAGAAATGTTGAAGGTAAACAAGAGGCCATCTAGCTCAGAAGCAACAAAGCCCACATGGAACAACATATCAACCTGTGTGATCACAGGGTGTCGAACAGATCACTGAAGACAAATGGGTGCATAAGCAAATGTGG